AGACTATAGTGATCACTATAAAATAATTTTAAAAAACTACAAATCAGTTATTAAATAAATGACAGCCGCGTGGAAATAAATTGAAATTTTGTTGAAATAGGTGAACGCATCGGGTCACGACGAGGGTAAGTGCGTTAAAAGCGGCGTTTAATTGGATAACAAAAATAACCGAGATCGACACACATACAGATAAATTCAGAGTGGATTCGAGTAAGCGTATTCCATGGCGTGATTGTCAAAATTATAACCTATTAAAACTTTATTTGGTGGAAACACATTGACCAAAGCCGGATTCTTATTTCAGAAATTATTACGCAGATCAAGCTGCAAGCATGGAGGTAAAAAAGAACAGAGGTGTAAATTCGACATTCAACACAAACCACCAAACAATTCAGAAACTTTTAGCCTTCGAAAATGAAAACAATTAGCAGTGTGTAAGGGCTGTGTAATTTCCTGATTGTCCGACGCTTCGTTTTCGTGTCACTGTCAAAATTATTGCTACTCTTTACTTAACAGGGACTAAATGGTCTCCATAAAACGATAATCAGGATCGCAAAAAAAGTAAACTCATTTAAAACACTTGCCGGACGTCTGTCTCTCTTCTGAAATCCGCCTCGGTGATCATGGTCCGGAATCTATTTCTTTCAAAAGTGTTGCACCAGGTTTATGTTGTCGGCGTTTCTCTTTAAACCTAAATTTTTTTTAATGGACGACGGCAGTTTTTCCAAAAAAAGAATCTGAGGCTAAGTGGCTTTCGTCCACTGATGTCGCACCTTCGGATCGATTAGAAACATGTGAATACTTACACTATAACTATACGTTTCACTGCAACTGCCCACAACACAACATCCAAAAACTCTCTCTCTCTCTCTCTCTCTCTCAAAAAAAAAAAACGCCGACTGAAAAATGTATATAGTTTAAAAGTATACTGAATGACCAGTGTTATTACGGCTCAGGGGTATGACTTCCTCTCACATTTTGGCATTTGGTGGTGCACTTTTGGCGAGAGTCGGGATTCCGGAAACAGTCGACCGTTTCAGAATAGGTGGGCGTGGCTACAACACGAGAAATATCCCAAATTTACTTGGATACGAGTAATCATTTTCAGCAAAAAACAATAACTGCCCATTTCAGTGGGATACAGATCTAAAATGGGAAACGTGAGGGTGGGCATTGCACAGGCACTTTAATGGCTGGTCCCATATCCCTGTTTGCCAGAACACTCATTGCCCAGTTAATCTTTACCTTGAATCTTCTAATTAGTTTCACCACATCGTCACTAAATACCAGTTTCAAATATCCTTCAGAAAAATTAGGCCGGTACTCCTCTCGGGACATATCCAACTGATCCGACTGAAATGCCGCACAATTTCTTGAACCGTTGCTCTCGTTAGTCCATCTTCCTCCGTCGACGATCATTCGCAAGCATAGAATAATCTCTATCTCACTGTCTTCGCTTAAACGCTTTGACATAATAGCAATAATTGTTCAAAATCAGAAACTGCATTCAAAACTAAACTCTTCTCGCGAGGATAATTCAGACAATTTCATTATATGTTAGGGCCATTTTTGAATATTTGTATCAAATAGGTTTATTTTCGCGAATCAAAAATAGAATTTATTAAATGAATTCGCATATGTATGCATGAAATAATAAAGTGTCCGATATCAAAAATGAGTAAAACATGATTGTTTAATGAATGTTTGACTGGACGCTTACACGTTGTAATAGTTGAACCCATCTGAAACCCTGGTCAGTTGTTTTGATTAACTGTCACGTAGGCGTGTATATAACTTTATTGAGTCTACAACGGCTACTGGAGTGTCTAGGAAAGTGTCTGGGGATGTTGCAAAGTCCCTCGCTAATTACCTACCTGATGCAGGAGTTAGGTGTATGTAAATATCTTGCGCTCGCTGTAATAGATCTTTATTTTTTGGGTCCACAAATCTTGCAAAGAAAGAGCCCATGGAACCACTCTATACTAAAGTTTGTATATATTAAATCATTTTTGTCATGTTCTCATAGGACAAATACCAGAGAGTTATATTGGTGAGGTCTATGCTGAAGATGCAGATGAAGTAAAAGGGGACGACATCAAATATACCATGGTTGACAAAAAATCTCGTTATTTCATAGTAAGTATCCTTAACTATCACATGTACTTTATGGTGCATTTGACGATAAAATGTTTTTGTGTATAAAAGTCATTTACTCAAAAGTTTTTTCGGAGAAAACGTGCAAGAATAGGTGTTTTTTGAAAGTATCTCAATGTTAAATTGTCATTGTATAGCATTGTATGATTACAGTGTCTAAAATTGTCATTGTGTAGCATTGTATGATTAGTGTCTAAAATTGTCATTGTGTAGCATTGTATGATTAGTGTTTAAAATTGTCACACAAGTGTAAATACTATCATCTAGGAAATGATGTCAAACCATTTCAATTTCACTTGATATAATTGTGAACATGATCACTGTGTATGCACTGACACTGTTGCTTTGTCAGCTTCATTTTTGGCTAAAACTTAGGCTTTTGTTGGTTCACAATTGTAACGTTTAAAAACACATAACAGTGTACAAATCTCATTCAGAGTAAGGGCATACAACAACAACAACAAAACAATGTAGTTTGTTGAGCTTGTAGTAGCTGCCTTATTATACTGCAAAATTTTTAAAATGATAAAGTACATTACTAAATTACAAACATGCTCTAGATGCTGGAAATAATATTGCTATCTTAACCCTGACATTGGAACATGGCCTGAAGTTTATCTTGATGAATGTACGTTTTTCATAGAGCAACAAATAGAATACAAGTGATGAATTGCAAGATTATAACTTGTGATTATAAGTATATATTGATGTCTGAATCTACAGGTTGAATCTGATACTGGCCAAATAATAATTCTTGAGAACACCCCAGCTGGTGAATACGAGTTCAATGTTGAAGTGGATGAAGCTCCATGGAATCCAGTCACTTGTACTGTCAAAGTAAAAGTCAACGATGTTCCTGAGGAGGCAGTATTCAGCTCTGGCTCAGTCAGGTTCAAAATTACAGCTGAAGAGTTTATTTCGGGAAAGCCCAGTTTGATGGATGAGTTCAAGAATCTGTTGGTGACAATAGTTGGTGCCAAGTGGGAAAATATTGATGTGTTCAGTGTACAGAATGCTGCTGATGAGGAAGGCTCTTGTGATGTCCGTTGGTCTGCTCATGGATCACCTTACTATCGACCTGAGAAAATGAATACACAGATATTAATAAACAAAGATTTGGTATGTCATAATTTTTAGTTAATATATAAACACTAGATTTATTTTCTTGGTTTAAATTATCTGTATTGCCTATTTGCACTGAAAACATTTCTGACTGAACAATGACGTTTCCTCTGTATCACCATCGCCAAAATGTTCTGTTTTAAATATTTCAACCGTTTTCTATCACAATATGAACTGTACGTTCGAGACTACATCAATGCACAAATACAGCTGCAGACATTAAAGGAAAGTTATCAAGAGATGTCATTTTTTTTTTAAATATTTAAATTAGCAACAATTTAAATTAATCTTTCATTTATTGTGAAATAATCAAACATAGTCAGGCATGTTTTTCCATATTAAATTACTTTACAAAACCACAGTTGCATTTTTCTGTATATTCTTTAGTTTCTTTGGTTTGATCCAATAATAATTTTTTGGAGTACTTTAATTACACAACAAGCAGAAATTGCAAATTATAAGAAAACATTTTACGTTGCTTGATTGTTGTCCAATCGTTGCGTACTTGTCATTCTTAGTTTTGATTCGTAGTCTCTCGAAAATCACAAATAAAATGAGTCTTCACAGTATGTTAAAGAATTAGGCCACTGTATTAAAATCTACTTTGATAGTAAATATTTTTATGAAGATTTACCAAATAATTCAATTTCTTACAGATTGAGGCATCCCTTGGTATTGAAATTGGTATGGTACCCATTGATATGTGCTTAGATGAAGGAATTTGTGAGTCGTCGTGTACAAACTATTTCTCAGTATCTACTACACCAACAGTGGTAGATGCTGGTGCTGATACGTTTGCTGGTGTGACTACACGACTAGAAGCCAGATGTGTCTGTGGTGCTAAGATAGCCCCAAGAGGTCCATGTGCCTCTAATCCATGTTATAATGGTGGTACCTGTTATGACACTCCATCAGGATATTCGTAAGTATTGGCTTTTAAATCTTCATTTTGCATCTAGCTTTACTTATTATGATGCATGAGAAGTTTGTACTTTGATCTTGAATGGACTGATTTTGTGATCAATTAATCACATGTATTTACCATCAATGAATACATTTATTAAATTATTTAAAGATGAGATTTTAATCAAGAATTTTTCATGGGATTTTGATGACTATTGTTTTTATAATGGAATATTTGAACACCTACTTTTGTGAAATGCTACTTTATATAGTTTGAGTTGAAGTTAATTATTAAAGCATGCATAATTTTGATAAACTGAATTACCCATCTGTCAGCTGTATTTGTGTTAAAGTATATCATTATAAGGAGTGTATGCATTTCAACAATTAATTTTATTCTAAATTGTTTACCGGTAATTAAAAAATGACATTCTATTATTTACGTAGGCTACTATAATGAATCATATTATGTCATTGTCTTCATCACGTGTTGGTGCATTTCATCTCATCTTTAATTCTTTATAGTTAACCAACTTTATCTCACAACTTGTTTTTATTAAATTCAATAGATGTGAATGTAGTCCACAATTTGAAGGACCCAACTGTGAAGAAACTGCTATATCCATTTCTTCTGGTGGTTTTGCTTGGTTTGAAACTTTGGCACAATGTGAGCAAACCAGAACCAGTGTTGAATTTTTAACTGAACGACCTAATGGTGTTTTGTTGTACAATGGACCTATAATGAAAATGCCAGCAGATTACCCAGATGATTTTATGGCCATTGTTCTTGTCGATGGATTACCAAAACTTTACCTAAATTTAGGATCAGGAACTATGACATTGGAAATTCCAGGTTCCCCTAGATTGAATGACAAAAAGTGGCATTTATTGGAAGTTGTGAGAGCCAGTCAGGTGAGTGTACATGCCAAATTTCACTTTACATTTAGATCTCATTTCTTGATTCAAAGTCGCTTCTGTACTAGAAACTAGGATCTAAATATTTTGATGTGTATTTTATTCAGTATGTGGAGTTCATTGTTGATCACTGTCAGTCAGCTACTCGAAGTGAAGATGCCTCCTCTACTTCAAGTGATGAAGATAGCTGCAAGACAACTGGCAGAACACCTAACAACCACAAGTAAGTACTTTGCTAAAATAAGGAAAAAAAAGTTGTTTAATTTCATTCTTGTCAGATTGATTTGTCAATTGTCAGTCATGTTTTGTGTTCTTGAATTTTTCCTGTATGACTTTTGTAATAGAATTCAAAATAGAAGATTAAATTTGGCAATGTAGCCATTTTTTTCATTGTAAATGATGTTTTATTTCATTACTTAAAATAATTGTTCTTTTTTTTCAGATTTCTAAATGTCAACACACCCTTACAAGTGGGTGGTCTGGACAGAAGTTCTGACTTTAGTTATGATCACTTTGATTACTTTGATCTACCTGCACTTCGCAGTGTCTCGCCCGACTTTGATGGTTGTATTAAAAACATCATTCAGGATGGCAAAGTCTATGACCTGGCTACTCCAGCTAGGGAATCAAACTCTGGACCTGGTTGTATACATACTGATCAAAATTGTTTTATTGGGGATAAATATGTTTGTAGTTATGGTACCTGCATTGCTGAGGTGGATAGCTATTTCTGCATATGTGATCCTGGTTGGGGTGGCCTTAATTGCGATATTGGTGAGTGAACACAGTCACAATGTCAAATAATTAAGCACTTTTATCAACATAGTTTTGAAGACTTATTCATTTTATGAATTTGTTGTGATATGAGTGTCTGTTTTTATTGTAATAATTGCCCAAATGTGTGCATATAATCAGTACAGCTTTTGGTAGCAAGAATTCTTAATTCTCAGATTGTTGAATCGTGCACAAAGTTTCTTCATTGCTATTAAGCTAACAATACTCCTGCAATTTTTGTTTTATATTGCAGAGTTGCCTTCATTTGACTTTGGCCTCGACAGCTATGTGCATTATGACCTGAACCAAGAACTGGTTACTGATGCATTCACATCCAACTTTCATCTGATGATTGGTACAACCCAAGAAGAGACAGGATCTTTGTGGCACATTGAGAGCAAGGATGGTGTGGAGTACATAACTATTAGGGTAAGCATGCTTGACAGTCTGATGATGCATATTTTATAAAAGGTAATGTAAAACTAATCAGCTTTGGTAAAAATGAACGATAGGTATACTTTTTATTTCGGACTTTCATCTAAAATACTTGAGGAATTGACCTCTGAGCTGACAGCCATTTTCTTTTGTAATGAAATGCTGGTAAATCACATTTATAGTAAGAAGTGATCATTCTGCCAAACACTTCTACGAGAGTAACAAGTGTAGACTAAACAAATGGCAACTTGACACACCCCTGTTGGTTGTCTTTAACTAAGCAAAAATCCAGCACAGATATAAACTGCAGTGGTTAATCTTCCATGTTTATTTATTAATCACTGTCTTCCATTATCTTGATGAACTACTAATTATAATCTTGTCAATCGAAGTAGCTTAAAACACTTTAGGCCATTGTTGAACATGTATGTTGATTTTTGAACAGCGGTTTCATTCAAGTTCTGTTACTATTCTCATTGTGTTATTGTGTTAAAACTGACATGTAATGATGGACCAGTGCTAATAGAGCATTGTGTGCCAGTCTGCAACTTTTTTTGTGGTTGGAAATTCTGGGTGCATAAAGCAGCGACCACCAAGGGTAGATCTTAGCGTTGTGTGCAAAAATTAAATGATTTGATTTTCATTTTTTTTTTATTCAGTGTCGAAATGCTGTGAGAGGGGAATAGACCCTTACTTCATCAAAATCTCACATTCTTAAGCATGAAAACATCCCAAAACACTTATGATGCTATAACCTTACTTTATGCATAGCGCGAAATCTTGTAGTGAATAGAAAATGTTCTACATGTGATCTGTTGAACTTGAAGTGTTGTTTGTCTGTTTGGTGGTTATCTTTTACTTTACATAGCATGTTGTTAATTGCAGGTTGTGGATGGATATATCACTGTCCAATACAACTTGGGTGATCCAGGTAAGGAGTACTACCTAAATATGGACAACTATACTGTGAACGACGGCAACTATCATACTATCCAGTTGCAACGATATGGTAACTTCTTCCAATTGAAAGCTGATGGTGGAGGTGGTGCTAGAACAGTTGAAGCTACACAGGGAGTGTTTACACAGTTTGTACCTGATTCAACATCACTTGTCATTGGTGCTAAAATACTGACATCTGGTAGTTCTGTTACTGAGGATTATACAGGTTAGTGAAATAAAGATTGAAAAACTTATGGTTATCAACCCTTTTGTTACTTTAGGCAGTTCAAACCAAAATCTTTTGGCTTTAGTGTTTGTAAAATTAATAGGCGATTTGCTGTTCAACTGCAAGATCTTGGATATTGCGTGAAAGACGTCTGCCACAAAAATCGAACGATTTGAATTTCTTTTTTTCATAGCTCAAAGTCGAAAGGTCGATCTTTAAAATGGAAATATTGCATTTAGATATCCTTACTTCATCGAAACTGACAACCATCAAATGTCTACAGCACTTTCATGTTTGTCAAATTCTCCCCGATGTTTGATGATACTACAACACTATGACCATTGTTTGTCCTGTTTTTACGTTCGATTTCACACATAACAAACTCCCAACAAACTAGAGGTTGATTTGTGAAAATTACAATGAACAGGATTGCTACTTGTAGATGAAATTTGATTTGAACAATGGTGGCGCTATAACAGTTATACCGGTAGTTCATTTTCTATTGCCTTATGTGCTGAATAGGGTTGTTTTATAAGCTTGTTGCTTCCTTCATAGACCGATTTCATTAAAAGTTTAGTACCGGGGTATATCATTTTTTGGTTATTCATACTCCAAATACCTTATGTTGGCTAAGTGTTACATTGTTTTTTCACAGGTTGTGCAAAGGACGCCCGTATTAATAATAAATACATTGGATTTGATGACGAGATTGATGGAACTAAAGCAGAAGCATTTAATGTTGATGAGGGCTGTGATATCTGTTTATTGAACCCCTGTTTGCCTCCCTTATTGTGCATTGCTACACCAAGTTTCTATTACTGCAGGTATGTCATAACTCTACCCACCTTTGTTCTTCTGCCGCATCACAAAATATAAACCATTTCAATTTGCCGAGTAAGTAGGTTTCTACAACATGGAATCCCGGTGACTTTGGCTAAATTTTTTTCTTCAGATGTACAATCCTGAAAATTAAATGTTTTTCAGTAGTTACTCTCGCGTTATACCATTATGTTAATCTTAGAGGCATTGTTTTGTCTCAAATAATTAGCCAAATGGAATTTATTATGCTAAATATATGTGTGTGTAGCCAATAATAAAGTTGGCATTTGGATAGATGACTAAAGTTCAGCAGGATAGACGGATAGACTTGAAATTCCACACATTGTTTGCAACTTCATTTACCAATACTGTATGATGTAAAATAAAATTGAATGCCCATTATCAAAATAACCTGTTGCCTAAATTAAATACTGCTTGATTCAGTGTTTGATATTTGTAACAAGTTTACACAATGTTCATACAGAAGAACCACAAATCATTGATAGTCCTTACAATATCAGTAGAGAACATAATAGTATGACTTATAAGTGTAAGAAAAAAATCGACTGCGAATACTTATTTACATTTTGTCTATAAAATTTCGTGATCTATGTTGATTTATGTACTAGATCTGTATAAGCAAGAATAAGTCAGTACAAAAGTTTTCAATGCAAAAATATTTGAAGAATAAGTAGAACTATTTATTGTTCTTGTGTACTTTATGTGAGATTTCACAAATGTCCTGATGGTGTGAGATTGATATGTACCGGTACTGAAATGTTTTTTTTGTATGTGCACTTCCAATAGAATGATTATGCTAAAGTTTATTACTGACTTTGCATGGTAGCACATAGCATGTATGAAGTGTGCCTTTATTGGCATGTAAACAGAAACCTGTGCATTACAAGGCGCATTTTGTATTCAGCAGGATGCACTGGGAATGTGCATGACTTTGCCTGCAGCATTTCACTATAATTCAAATTTGGCATGAGAAACTAGTATTAGTAAAATAATATTTCCAATATCTGCTCTATTAGTAGCGCATATTTTAAATGTGCTTTTTGGTTTATATGTACTTGTATTGAAGATATGCTTCTAATAAAGCAGATATGGTAGTTGTAATTGTCTCTAAACATTAGCATAATTGCATTTTGAATGGTTCAGTTGATTTAGATCTCGTACATGTTGCTAGATGTTAGAATAATGCTGTAACAATGGTGTATTTATTTTGGGTGCATTCATTCATTGTGTGGAGATTTCACTTAGTTTAAAAGCTTCCCAGTCCAATAAATTTTGACGAAAAAAATTGTGATTTAAACTGTTCTTTGTTATGGCTTTCTGAATTTAATTTTGAAAGGCAAAATTTAACGATGTTTAACAATGCACAAAACCCAAAATAAATGCTAAAGTGTTTTGTACACCCTCCTTCCTGCATACTGAATTCTGAATAAGCCTGATTAAAACTGCACCAGATTAATGCACACCCTCCTTCCTGCATACTGAATAAGCCTGATTAAAACTGCACCAGATTAATGTACACCCTCCTTCCTGCATACTGAATTCTGAATAAGCCTGATTAAAACTGCACCAGATTAATGCACACCCTCCTTCCTGCATACTGAATAAGCCTGATTAAAACTGCACCAGATTAATGCACACCCTCCTTCCTGCATACTGAATAAGCCTGATTAAAACTGCACCAGATTAATGTACACCATCCTCAATCCCCAATAAATCATTCTTAGCACTTGTTTCTTTCTACCTTATTGCACCAGTCATGTTTTTTTTGTCTTGTGTTTCTGCAAATACTATTGCCTCTTTGTCCTATCTTTTTTCCCTCCCATACTCTATACATAGCTGTCCAGCTGGACTTTTCCGTGTGGGTAATTACTGTGTTGATGAGGATTTTGGCGTCACCTTTGTAACTCCAGGGTAACTATGGCACTCTTCACTTCATCTTAAATTCTTTCCATCCATCAACAAATAAATTTGTCTTTTACTTTTTATCTAACTTACACTCTAATAACTGTTAGTTGTATAACTGTTGCAGTCATGCACCAAAGTTTTTATTTCTTTAACAAAATGAATTCTCTGCAAGAATTGGGATACTGATACTTGAAATATTTATTGCATGGTACTTCCACAGAGCTTGCTCCAGATATAAAATAAAGCTAATCTCATAAAAACAAAACCAATTTGACTCGAAAGTATATAAAGGCAGCTGAAATCTCAGTTGTATGTATGTTAATAAATGCTAAGGTTATCATACTTGCAATACCTAGTTTGTTTCAATCACAGCTGTAAAGCACAAATCATGCACGTTCTAAATATATTGACACAGAGATTGTGTACACTCTCACATGACATGTGTTTACACACACACACTCTGCAGTGAATACTGATGGTGTAACCATTGCAACACTTATTGTGCAGCATTAACAGTTAAACATTTGTATTGTAAATAATGTAGTTTAACGCATTCTCAATTGATTTCAGCTGTCCCATTGGATTTATCTTGAAAAATGGAGATTGTGTAGAGGAGGGTGATACTGAATATGTGGTTGGAGCCGCACTTCTAAGTTTTGAAGCCCTCATTGCAATTCTCATCTGTATCTTTGTAATACTTAGTGAGTAAAACTTAATATTTTTTTTCCCCATTGGAGTGCTGCATGTGACTTTTGTTGGTGATATATTTTATGCAGTTGCTGCCCCAGTAGTAAATGTCATTCTTAGATGATTCCAGTAAAGTTGCTTTTTGTACTGGGGTATTTGTTGGTGATAAGTATGTTGAAAAAACCATAAACTGTAATTTTGAGGCAGTTGGATATGAAAGTTACAAAATCTACTCAACTTTCCTTTTAACATTCATTTCTATCATATTTTTTCAGTTTTGATTTTGGCATTTGTTGTGTATAAGCGTCGACAAAATCAACAAAAGAACAAAGGATTGGTGTTTGATGTGGATCATGATGACGATCTGCAGGAAAACATTGTTGTATACGATGATGAAGGTGGTGGCGAAGAAGACTACGATGGCTATGACATCAACACTTTGCGCAAACCAATTGAGCCTGAAGTGGAGAGTCCGTTAACTGCTAAGAAGAGGCCACCACCAGTGGAAGAAACTCCACGTGGTCGTGCAGCTCCACCACCTGGAGGAGGTATGTACATTACAAATATTATATTGCATTGTGTTGCTGGTGATGGGGCTGCTTTGAGATTACCGGTACAAGTCATTTATTGAAGTATTATAGTGTGAAATCATATGTAAAGTCAATGAAAGCAACAGGCATATTTGAATAATTATTTTCTCTCTACAGAACTTCCAGACATTGGTGACTTCTTAGACAAGAGGCAAAACGATGCAGATGATGATCCCGAAGCTCCACCATATGATACTTTACGTATGTACAACTATGAAGGTGAAGGTTCCACTGCTGGCTCTCTCAGCTCGCTTAACACCAGTGGTTCGGGTGAATCTGAGCAGAATTTTGACTATCTAAAGGATTTTGGTGCACCGTTTAAGAAGCTTGCCGACATGTATGGTGAAGGGGAATCAGAGGATGACTGAAAATTGACTTTATTATTGGGTTGATGCTTACTTCTTTTTCTAATCAGACTTGTTTTCTGCAAGAGTATGAGTCTGTGCAAATAGAATCTTGATTGACAATGTCCAAGGCAATAATATTTTTTCTGTTGCCAATTCTGGTTTTATTAAAACAGAAACTTTAAAGATTTGAAAATTAATAGATCTGAAACGGTGCATGCTGTAAAATCAGTTACAAATCACTTTATAGAATAGAAGCTTTACATTAGCACAGAATTACTGCAATACTTCATTGCACAGTTTTTATCACTTGAATTATGAAGAACTGATAATATTTGAAATCGTCTTGTGTAAAAGAATAAAGATAAAAAAATCTTTGTATATTTTAGGAAATTTGAACTGAATGCTAAGTTAGGAACTTATTACTATTTTTATACTTACCTAAATTTCAACTGCAATGAAGCAGTAAATAAATTGTGCTCGTCCCCGTTAATAGAGGCTGATTTTTTATTTACTACAGTGATTATAATAAGCATTCCAGTTAAAAACAGCAACTGCCCAATCTTTTTTTAATGTTTTATTGTTTGTAGTTTGCAAGAGTACACTTTGTTTAATTTTGTTATTGTCACATTATATAATGCAGTGTTAGATAGACATGTTTAAAAGATTTAAAAAAAAAAGTGCTCACTGTAGTTGTGTAGATAATTTTTGGATTAAAATTAGCAGAAACAAATGAGTTTCTGTTTTTTCATGCTTCAGTTGAGGCCGCACCTGGTGGAGAGTTTTGGATTAAACCAAGATCACATACTTGTATTTTTATAATATGTAGTTCTTGCAATGAATTGAATGTTAGACAAGAATGGGATGCCATGCCATGTGAGGGACTATCTGCTATTTGTATTTCATTTAAAATTTTGCTAATGAAATGACAGCTTCGAAGTGAATGAGTGTGTTGACATGGTTACTGTAATAACATCCCTTGTATGTATTATCGGATAGCTGCAAAATTGAACGTTTTACTAATATTTTAAATAACTGAAAACCCTTCATACAACCCATTCTTAAAGTTCTCAATAACATGTGCAAGACCCATCTCGCAATTTAAATTAAAACGAATATCCATATCCACCGTGAATTGTTTTTATCCAAAATGCAATTTTGTACTTTGATACATAGTCCTAAACCATATGACCGACAATCATATAGTACATCAGTCTGTCTAACTGTACATGTAATTCCGACACTAGACACTGCTAATGGTTCATGTCGGTATACATGTATCCTGGTTAATTCAGTGGCTGCTCTGTTTGACATAATATGCTTGTGTAATATATTCATCCATGTATTCAATTTTTGTTTTTCATATTTTGTAAGGTTTTGATGTTTAATCATAGTAATGTCATTGTTTGATCACACAATCACTACATATTGAAGTTCTCTTCCTATAGCTTATGAAATCCACTTTGTGCATGCTGGAATGCAGACTTTTATTGAATAATTATTGAAGAGATTAGCTTCTTTATTTTAACTTCTGAGATGTACATCTTTATTTGGAGTTCTTTCTATACGGAGTTTAAATAAAACACTTTACTACTAAAAAAATTGTTATTCATCTGTGTATCTGGAAGGAATTTTTGAGGAACTATTGAGTTTGTGCTCAGTGGTGTAGTTTGCTCCTGAGGACACAATTGACATGGATCCTACAAAGTATGTCCTTGTGGGAAAAACTTGTCTAATCTTGAAAATTGGGGAGGGGGGGTACATGCTTTGATTTTCGGCTGGAGTGCTCTGCTGCCAGTTAAAAAAAATGGTCCATAAATGAGACACTGGAAAAATGTTGGCTCAAAAACGTTGCCTAAATGGCAGAGTATAAAATTGATGGTCAAAAAGATAGGTTTGAAAAATTATATTTCTTTCCTCTTCAATAAAAAAAAATTGTTTATTTTTTAAGCCCGCCTAGTTTTCATATGGGGATTGACGTACTTTGAATGGACGCTCTGACGCTCCACACATGCTTAGTCTGTAAACAAAATGTTCGCTTTTGACTTTTAAATTTATTTTCATAAAAACATGCAGTATCGTGGGCTCGGCTGTGCGATTTTTTTTTTTGCTTTACGTCACTTTGAAATAAAAAAAATAAGGAAACAAAGCAACCTTTAATATTGAACATTCCAAAATAAGCAAATCAAAGTTGATGTTTAAAATGGAATACACACTTAATTTAGTTTTATTGAACACAAACTTTTCATTTCTTTGATAAACAGATCATATGGTTTTCCCTGTTTACTGCGAGTACTCGCGTGGAAGGCGCGGATTGAACGTTTTCTGCAAATATCTAATAATTTAATCTTGAGCTTGAATTCCTTTTTTTTTTATAGTTCATAGTTCCACAATTAGGGACTGTGATAGTTCAAAAGAAAGGGATATGGCGTTACTTCATCACAATTTACCGTAATCAAATGTGTATAGCACATTATTAAACGTGAAACAGCCCTCAACATGTACATTCATGTTTGTTGAATCCCACGCAACATTTTAACGCCACTGAGACGTTATGACCTTCGTTTGTGTTTCCTGTAAAGCAAAAACGGAATAGCGAAGAAATAAAAAATAACAAAATAATAAAAAAGCCGTACTTGCAAATTTTACTATGTTGACCTTCATGATTATAAAGTAGCGTTCACGCACGGGCTGGGAGGTCAAATACCTTAGCCCGTGCTAAAGAAACTTGTGTAAACGTTTGGCACGGGCTAATAAATGCTAAGGACGGATTAAATTCGGCCAGTTTTAAGTCCCGGTCCAGATACTTAGCACGGGCTAACGCAGTGTGCGTGTGCATGTAGGCTTAGCTCGGCTAAGTGCACAAAACTCAATTTTATATAAAATGTTCATTTGGAAGATATACTATTACATTCATAACTATTCATTTCAGTGTGCATATCGTTGTCGAGAAATGTGTGCTACTTCCTGTAGAACTAACATGTATACCTCACTAATTACTGTACTGGGTAATTAAAATGACTTTTGTTTATGCAGTTTAGGCGTTTCTCAACCCGTACTAACCACTATTTCCTCCAGTGCGTGAACGCAAATGGGTACTAGTATATCAGATATGCGATATACACTGGTCACTATAAATAATTTAAATAGATGAATCGGAATCGGAAAATGCGACCACACTCCAGAATTTCAAACGGAAATTAAGCAAATCTGAGCCACCAACAGAAATAAAAGAAATACACTATACTCAACTGTACAGAGTGCCAGTAAATGCATTTAGGCCATGCCATAGACTGTGGCCATGCCAACCGTAGTTGCCTAGTGTGTATTGTATAATTGCGTCTCCAAACCGGCCAGGCAACGTCTCCTCGTTGCCTCGTGTATACACCACCACGTCGTCGCGTTGCCGGTTGCAATCTTTGATCTTTGCACATACTCCAAACAACGTTCTTTCTCTGGAGGCTTCTTCAATTTGTTTTATATTTGTAAGCTTAATTTTGTTTAGTATAGCTACACCTAAAAGAAGATGAATCGATCCTTTAATTTGATTTGTACATGATTAACTCGCCCAATCTCAGGACAATAACAATTTTGTTCAGCCTAGAATCCAGCCATTACCAGTTCACAATTATTCGTAAATTGTTCAAAATCTTACAATTTACCGTAGTGCAGTGTAAGAGTGTTCACACAGCTTGACTTATGTATGTCGGGGTGAGTAAATTATTTCTATTTTATGGTCATTAGTAATAGAGTATATATTTTTGAAAGCAAACAACTTCTACGTTGATTTACCATATTTATGTATCTCCTAAAACCAAATAAAAAACTTATTCGAATACATTTGTATTAGGAGTTCGCGAACAAAGAGTGCAAGCAATTAATGTTAAGCCACTGTACCTGCATGGTGACTATATATAGTGTATTCTGAATAATTGGGTGTATCTAGTATTTTATCGTATGAATTTAAATGACATGCACACCGGTAGATAGCTACCACACCGGTAGATAGGTACCACACCGGTGGATAGGTACCACACCGGTAGGTAAGTACCACACCGGTAGATAGGTACCACACTAATAAAAGCAAGAAAGGAGCCTATATTAGCACATAGTCACAGAGTGCAAAGTTGGAAAAAGCGATTGAAAAGTTGGCAGAGTTGCTTGTATATTTGACCTAAGTCATTGTCATGGCAGGCCTGCAATTACATTTTGAAAACATTAGGTAAATGTCTAGAAAATAACACAGATTATCACAACACATCAACACCAAGAAACTAAAACGTGCTCCAAGTGATTAAAGCAGTATTTACATATATTGTCCTAATTACAATTTCCCCAACCTTATTCCCATCTACTGATCATAATTCAAAATATAGAGGGCGATCTACATAAATACTTGAATATTGAGTTTGGTTTAATTTGTCAAATATTAGAGATAATTCGTGGTAAAAGACTCCGTTAATTATCTAGTGTTATTCACTATTACACATTTTGTGTTTACTGTGGTGCTTTAAAGGAATGCTGTGATATGTAAATAATTTATTTTTATCAATGAACAAATAATATATTGTCACAGAACATAAGCGTACACCATAATCTTAAATTAATATACAATCGTAAACTCTAACTGCA